GTGCTCTAGACTCTTTTTTTTGCTGATATATATGCTGTCGAGTAGAATATCTGATGGAATCAACAGGATGGGAGACATTTTGATCAGAAGCAGACCTTGGGCATGCTCGAGGTTTAACAGCAAGAAGACTGTTAGGCGTAGTTACAAGGGTAACAGAAGAATTGAGAGTGGAGCTCCCTGCCTAAAACAAAATAGGAAGTAATTCAGATAGTATTTAGAGGCATACAGGCCTATTTGAACAATATTAAATCAATTAAGTCTCCGTGTCAGTTTAAGCAACACAAGGGAAAACAACTTTTCCAACCTAAAAGCCGCTCAAGGCCAAATATACATATTCAAGATACGGAGTCTTAAATAATGTCTTAAAATTAATGAAAATATTAATCGTTTATAAAGGTGATATGACACTTACTTGAGAACGTAACGTGTCCTCGCCACTAAGATTGTTTGCATTTGCATCGGCATATCCAACGGGGTCACCTTCATTATGCAGGAGACGGCTGGCAGACCGATGTAATTGGGTAAGAAGCTTGCTTAGCTGTGCACGCGAGAAAAGCTGCAAAGGGAGAGCGACTTGAATGTATTGATAAAAGGGAGCAGGTTAATACTACTTAAATATAGATAAATTGCTTACGTGTGACACGTAATTTAGATTAGATATTAATTACTCACTTGGTAAAGCCCATGCTCATTACTGGCCACTAGGTCTGCCACGCGTAAACAGTCTTTATGGCGGCCAGTAGTCTGTAGAACATAAACTAACATAAAAACTGCATTCGGTACACAGTAAGTACGTAATGCTTGCAACTGGCTCGTCCGCACGGGAGCTGATTCAACCAGCCCGTGGAGAGTTCCAGTGTCTTTGCAGCCAGCTATCCGAGAGGTTCGATGTCGACCGACTCTCAGGAAGCCACATTTTGAACTAGTGTAACGAGTGCACTCAGGATTATTTAACTCTTTCATTCCTTCATTTAGATTCCTTTCAGCATCAACGTCTTCATCATCATTCTCCCTTTCTTCTGTATTTTCATCCAAGTCGTCTATTAATTCTTCATCATAATCTGCCACGTCACCTCCAATATCGTCATACGACCCACCATCATCTGCTGACTCCCCTTCAGTTAAGGGTTCAATTTCTTGTCCTTTTTGAGATGGAGAAGATCGAGGTACGACAGCCTCAGTCTTGCTGGGAGACTCATCTACAAGCCAGCCTGGGAATGGATAGGCTAGCAGACTGGTAAGCTTATCCACAATCACCTAAGACAATAAAAAATGTATTTAAAAAAATTTAATTGGTAATCTAATTTACCCTGGAAGGCAAGTTAAGTATATGTAGGTTTCGATATAGCATGGAAAGACTTAGGATGAATTTATGGGAGTCAGTTAAACGTAAATATCGAAATTGCATAAGGAATGAAGAATCAGGCTAGTCGTTAAATGCCAAGCATGGAAAACAGGGTATTTTAGATGCTTGGTTAATCGGAAATAACAGCTAGAATAAAAGACTACTTCTATTAAATCTCAAATTGGAAAGGAATAACCTATATAATCCAAAAGCTATTTCTCCTCGAACGTTTATGGGGGGATACGCCGGGAATAGAAAAGAACAGAAGCCTAGCAAATACTTCAAGTTCAAGCAAACTTTCATTTCGCCTCACGTCCGACCCAAAGAAAGAAATAGGAGACAAACTGAACCACTTTGTATGACGATAATATAAATATAAGAGAATCCGGTCTAAAGATGTCGATCCTTCTGGATTAGGGTAGATGGTCTGCGCCATAAAAGATAAAAAGAGCTGTATGATTTAGAAGTGACGAATACAAATAAGATTAATCATTATCATGAATACAATCATTAATTAAATTCTAACAGAGGGCTTAAGTGACAATTACAAAAACTTATCAGCAGAGCGAACAAGGCAGAAGTCGGTGACAGGCAATCTATTGAATATACGTCAATTTAACGCTTGCTAACCGAGCTATCATAAATTTTTAACTCTTGAAGAAATGGGTAAAAAGTGATGATTATTTTATACAAGGTACTCTTAACATCCTCGTCTTTAATAAAGGTCAGGGGTCGTAAATTTTACAATATAATTTCCACCATAAACCGGAAACTTCAATTAATAAAAGCAACGGTCAATGAAAATTAGAAAAATTCTTTTATAGATATGAAAAGTAGCTGGGTTTCAATAAATCTCCTAAAATAACATTTTTGTGGAGACTTTCATATCAAATGAAAGTGTAGAATAAAAAGCTTATTCGATTGACCTGACCAGAAGATGATGGCTGATTCCCGTATTACTGCAGTTGTATGGCTTTAATACGACGTTCAGACTGGCGAAGTCCACGAGATACCTCCATTTGTTTGGGATAAAAATGGATTACGGTTTCATTATCATGTGATGTACATCATCAAAGCTAGAACTCATTCTTGCAAGTTTTAAGTTAACACTAAATCAAGAGGAGTTTAAGTATTAACTTGAGTTTTGTAATAATGAGTTCCAGCCCTGATGAGGTACTTCATATGAATAATGACGACTTAGCTCGGTTTTGCCCAAAACGAGGGAGGATATCATGTGGACCTTCTTATTCTGAACGTCGTGTTAGGGCCAAACAGCTGCAAAGCAACGGTATAAGCCTTCGTCTTCCGGTGGTATCAACCAACGAATCGCTTTATCATACAATTTTATACGAAATAAAAATTTCCACGGTAAAAATTCTATTTGCGATGCTGGAACTCAAAAAATTGTAAAGCATGGAATTCCGATTTGGTTTGTGACAATATTATCAAGATAAAATGACAATTCGCTTAAAAATTACTAAATCACTAACAAAAAGGAATGAGAACTTACGTCTGTATCCAGTTTTACTTCGTGTCTCCAACGCTCTATACGGTCTTCGGTGGCACGTTGGCGTTCTTCTACAGCCATGCGCTCAACCAAACCTCGGGTCTGCGAGGAATGTATGGCAGCAGAATGCCGACCTTGATTAAGATGGCTCGTGCTGGTCTGGGCAACTCGAAGTAGCTCGGCAGCGTTAGGTTTAGAAGAATGCACTATCTCGAACCAGTTAATAAACGCATCCTGTGGTTGATTTAACAATAAAGTTGGTTTTTGATAGAAAGAATAAATAAATTATAAAATCGAAGGAATAGAAGTAAGATGAAAATTAATAAAATAATTCATCACTATTTATTCGTTAATATTTGTTTATGATAACCCCAAAACTCAAAGACAGCTTGAGCAAAATGAGCGGAAA